GTGCATGCGCTACACATGTATGTGCATGCGCTACACACGTTCATGTGGGCGCCTGGCCCCGTTGCACAGTAACGGTTGCAACGGGATCCAGAATGCACCACTGAAGAATCCCAATAGTTTTGATGCCTGAAGAGAATCAAAATAAGGAAGGTGATCCCTTAAGCCCCAGATAGATAATTTTGGATCTTATTAATAATTGAGCGAAATCACAAAGCGATCTCCATTAGCAAACATTTTTCTGTCCTCCGCTGCTCTGCACCAACACCCTCTGGTCCAGTCTTTTTCACTATGGACAAGAAGGCATTCCTGGGAATTCAAATTTTTTCTCCTGTTTGCAGAAACAATTTAATAAAATGATTTTGGAAAGAGAACAAGAACTCATCTTTTTCTGAATAAAGGGTTTTGCTGCTTGAGTGGCTTAATTTTTGAGAACGAGATGCAAGGGTGCCATGGGGAAGAAAATAGCGCAGAAAGAGAACAAAGTGTTATTGTTGGCTGGCTAGGATTCAGTTTCACCAAAGAGCAATCACAGTTCATCTGCCCCTTGATCTTGTTACTTTCCACTGAGGTCTGGCTTTCTTCAAAATTGAGGGTATGTCTTAATGCTCCTCTATTATTATTATTTTTTGGTAACTGCCAGTATGTATGTGAAATGCTATTAAAACCTATTGGTGGATTAACTTATTATGTTTATAGGAGAAGCCATGCCAGTCACTAAAAAACCTGGCAGCGTGGTTATTGCGGGTTCTCTCAATGCACATGGCTCTGTGCTTGTAAACGCAACTCACGTTGGCTCTGATACCACCCTGGCACAGATTGTGAAACTAGTTGAGGAAGCTCAGATGTCAAAGGTAAAACAAAGTGTTGGGTTGGGGGGGAGGGGATGTTGGAATTCATATGCTGACCTGGGTGTCCAAATCACTGGAAATGCTCCAGAACCGTAGTATATAAAACTAAAACCCACTCTCCTAACTTTCTCAAAGTTCTTTCCGTATCTTTCCACATCTGAGGTCTTCTGAATCCCAGCTTCTGCCAGCCTTTGGAGGTCACCTGATTCAGGAAGACAGTTCTAAATCGAACTCACTGAGTTGGCCTAATTGATTTATTTTCTGTGCTCAGTTTCACAATGCATCCTTTAAACTAACTATGTTAAATTGCATTAGATCAGATGGCGGCTTGCATGGTTTTCTCCAACCTGATTCTATGGATTAGTTGGTCCTGCTGTGTCAGGGAACCAGTAAGGACAGCATCTGTTATCATGGGCCAAGAGATGGGAAATCGCAGAAGGCCTTTATGAACCATAGTGATGCAATGGTTAGAATGCAGTACTGCAGGTTATTTCTGCTGATTGCTGGCTGCCAGCAGTTTGGCGGTCCGATCTTGACTGGCTCAAGGTTGACTCAGCCTTCCATCTTTCCGAGATCAGTAAAATGAGCACTCAGGTTATTGGGGGCAATAGGCTGACTCTGTAAAGCGCTTAGAGAGGGCTGTAAAGCACTGTGAAGAGGTATATAAGTCTAAGTGCTATTGCTATTACTGCAGAAAGATCATGTGCAGTTGCAGCTGCTGGGCCAGGGATCTTGTCATCACAGAACTATTGGTTGAAACATCGTCTGTATCAGGGGTCTCCGACCTTGGCAACTTTAAGCCTGGGGGACTTCAACTCCCAGAATTCCACAGCCAGCAAAGCAAAGGTTGAAGACCCCTGTTCTATAAACATGCTTCATTAAAAGTAAATCCCCTTGTTTCAATAGCAAGTTGGATTGGATTGGATTGGATTTATTACATTTATATCACAATTCAGTCAGGGAAGGGGGTACAGACAGGGGATAAAAGACGAACATAACAATACACAATTTAAAACACACAACAACCATACCATTCGAGGAGGGGGGCAAAAGCTCTTTAGCCCCAGGCCTTTCAGCATTTCTTTTAAGAGACACATTTCAGTTAATTCACCAATGGCATTTTAATCACAGGTGAGGGATAGGGGGGGGAATCTGTATTTCTCTCAACCAGATGTATTTGTAAAATACTTAATGTGATAAGTTAACGTATTTTTAAGAAATATTGTGCACTCATAAGGACCTAATTTTTTTCTGATTTGCAGGCACCCATCCAGCAACTAGCTGACAGATTTAGTGGTTATTTTGTTCCATTTATCATAATAATTTCAACAGCAACCCTGATAACATGGATCATAATTGGATTTATACAGTTTGATGTTGTACTAAAATATTTTCCTGTAAGTACTGTTTACTTAATTATTGTAATTACTTATATCCTGCTATTCCAGACAGCTTTTAAAGTGAGTTCAACATGCATTAATAAGAATTGCAAGTGAACAATTGGAAACTCATAACCTTTCAGGGAGACGCCTTATAGGGCTCTATAGGGTGTCCTATAGTCTCCTCCTAGGGTAAAAAGGTAAAGGTTCCCCTCGCACATATGTACTAGTTGCTCTCGATTCTAGGGGGCGGTCCTGATCTCCATTTCAAAGCCGAAAAACCAGTGCTGTCCATGTTTCTGTGGTCATGTGGCTGGCATGACTAAATGCTGAAGGCGCACAGAAAGCTGTTACCTTCCCACCAAAGGTGGACTCTATTTTTCTACTTGCATTTTTACATGCTTTCGAACAGCTAGGTTGGCAGAAGCTGGGACAAGTAACGGGAGCTCATTCTGTTACACGGCGCTAGGGATTCGAATCACCAAACTGCTGACCTTTCTGATCTACAAGTTTAGCATCTTAGCCACTGTGCCACTGTGTCCCTAATACCTCCTATGATAGGAGACTATAAAAGATATAAATACGTTGAGAATACCCAAGAAGAATTAGGTAGAAAGGAACCACTCAGAGAGATTGTACATGTGTTTGTATATGTGTACGTACTTGTGAATTTCTTTTGCAATTATTCAAAAATATTTTTGTACACTTGGGCATATACATTTAAGATCCCACGAAACCCAATTCAGTGATTCCAGATTCAGTTTGAAATCCAGGACCCCAACATTTGTCATATTTATGAAATCCGAAAAACGCATGTTTTTTTTATTTTTTTATACTGGTTTTCAATGCAGTTTCTTTAGGTCTCAAGGAATCAAAAAGAGGAGAAAGGCAAATGGGTTTCTCAAGATCTTAGCTATCTCATTTGAGAATGAAATGCAGAACAATTCACTTGAACATTTTTTTTTTACTTCTACCCATTTGTCGTAGCATCTCAGTGTCAGGACATGCATTTGTTCTTTTTCTCACACATTAATATAGAGAGCAAATATTACTATGTGAATTAATCTGATCAATAGACAAATATCATTTGGGCAAAAGCTGGTTTTTATTCTACTGTTACTTTATACAGTTATAGAGCCGTGTTTAGTTTGGATTGCCAAAGAGAACAGCAGTCATGACATTAAGCAGGATGTGGAAATCTTTGGAGTTTTGTCATCTTACAGTGTTTTAAGTTTTTAATTTGTAATCTTCAAATACTGCTTAAAAGAACAACTGCTAAGCAGGATAATTAAAGACTGGAGCAAAGTGAAAATGATCAGATTTGATTGCTGGAGAAGAAAATGCATTCTGACTGGGTAATTAAATACAATTGATAGAATATTTTTATATGGAAGAGTACTTTGAAAGCAGCTTCAACGTAAAATGGTAGCAGGACTAAATTTTCGCATATAGTGATTTCTCTCCAAAAATAGAGGGCAAAGATGTGTGAGAGCATATTTGTGCGTAATGATGCTAATATAAAAGATTGCCAATATATCTCTTGCAAATAAATATTTCTTGCTTGCTTTCTAGCATCACAGCAAACAGAACTCACAAGCTGAAATTATCCTACGGTTTGCCTTCCAGACCTCCATCACAGTGCTGTGCATTGCATGTCCTTGTTCTTTGGGCCTGGCTACTCCAACTGCTGTGATGGTGGGCACTGGAGTTGCTGCTCAGAATGGTATTCTAATCAAAGGAGGGAAACCCCTGGAAATGGCACACAAGGTTAATACTATCATTGCTAACTTGTTCTGACCCCCTCCTCCATCCAGTAACGAAAGCTGAGACAAGCGTAAAATGGAGTGTCCTTTAATAACAAGACCAGAATCTCGGTGGCTGAAAGCCAAATAAACAAACAGATAAGGACCTTGGCAGCAAGTCCAACAAACCTTGGCAGCACTTCAGACAAACTCTGGCAGCAATCCAGCCTGCCAAGTTCGTTTCTCTTTAGTCCAAGTGCTGACTTCTGCAAGAAGGGTGTGGCACAAGCAGTCTCTTTTATAGTCTGGAGAGGAGCCTAATGACCATCAGCTGATCGTAATTCCCTCCTGTATTTACATAGTTGTTCTTGACGCCGAGTAGCCCTTCGATGGCGTGCATCCGGGAACAACTCACTGTTGG